AGGAGAGATACACACGTGCAGGGACAGAAATAAAAAGCTAAGACTACACTGTTAATCTATAAAGTGTATAACAGTTTGAAATGGCAAACCCACCATGCAGTTCTGTGGTCAGGATATAAATCACAAACTGCCTGACACACCAGGACACACACCCAACACATTGCCTTCATAATAGTTTTGGAGGACATTCATTGACATATTGCATTCCCTCAGCCCTAACCTAAACTGACCTGAACCTTAAAACCAAATCAGCGCTTTTATTTCGGGGATAGCCTAAATGTCTCACTAGTGTAGACTGTTCTCACAGTGTAGACATGTCCTCACAGTGTAGACATGTCCTCACAGTGTAGATATGTCCTTAGTGTAGATTGCTTCTTAACAGTGTAGACATGTCCTCACAGTGTAGATATGTCCTACAGTGTGACATGTCCTCACGGTGTAGACATGTCTCACGGTGTAGACAGTCTCACTGGTGTGACAATGTTTACAGTGTAGACATGTCCTCACATTGTAGACATGTCCTCACAGCGTAGATATGTCCTAACAGTGTAAGACATGTCCTCTACGGTGTAGACATGTCTTCACAGTGTAAGATATGTCTCAAGTGTAGCATGTCTCAAGTGTATGAACTGTAGACTAACTGTTTTTGGTGTTCTGGTGCTCGCTGGTCTTAATGGACTCACCTCTTGCATGGACACTCAGAGATGAAAACTGATATCCGTCTTCTTTGTCCGTAAACAAGATTTTTAATAAGTTTGACAGTTCTTTAAGGTGGCAGTTCCACAGAACCGGTCAGGGGTCAGAATATCCCAGAACATTGACTTCTATGTAAACAATTCCAACTTTTCAAAGACATCTGTTTGTCTGTCTCCAGTTTCTGCAGGGTTACACTCGGAATCTTCCTACGTCACATCAGGAAGTCGTCTGTCCTGTCGGGTCGGGAGATTCTGGCTTGTCGAGAGAGCTCCAGTACATTGTGAAGACCAACCAGTTCTGCCTGGGAACCTCATACTGGTGGCCGTCACAATCAGCCGGAGTCAGGAACACGAGCGTTAACGTGACCTTAATCAGTCTGTGGACATGTTGTCCTTGATGTGTTTGATTGGATTTGATCTTGTTTTTATATTTAAATTGTGATTTTGACAGAGTTCACTTTTAAATTTACACATAAACTGGTTAGATATGTTTTATAACTCTGTATAGCGTACACAGAGTTTTTATGAGATAACAGTTTTAAATCAAAATATCTGGTCAAGAAAACTTAAACAGATGCAGCATTTCCCTAAAGTGTTTCAGTATCCATGTTTCCAGTAAATGCATTTGATAATATGTTAGCTACCAAAGATGATGTGTTTTTATTGGCTTCGATAGACGACGCTGAAACCTCTGCACTGTTTCCTGTTGTCTGGATAAAGTTCACGTATCCATATCTCCAGTGTGCTTAGATAGATAGCTATATTCAGTACAAAAACATGACCTGTTGTTTTTAATTCAGTGTCATACAAGCTCAAAGGGAATAATTCCACCATAATATTCCACAGGCTTTTAATGTGAAACACCTGCAGGAAGTGATTTTCCCCTCGACGTTAGAGGCAAGCAGTGAGGGCAAAGTAGAAGCAAAACAAATGATAAAAAATTTTTATATATTGTTATTGTATATTGTTTTTTATTAACGTCTCCATATGCACATAACATTTATTTTAATGAATCATTGATAAATTGTTTCTGCGTGTTTCAGAGAAGCGTGTTTCGTCCCAGCGATGAGCGTGTTCAGCCAACTGGGAGTCAACACTCCCTGTTCACTCAACAAACAACACTTTGTGAACTCGACTGGAAATCACTGGTGAGGAACTGATTGATCGATCTGGTTTTATGGTTGATTGAATTGATTGATTGACTTAGAGCAGATTCAGCCAAGAAATAAACTTTTTCCTTTTGAATTAAATTTAATGAAATGAAAGTATTTATCAATATAACGTGCAGGTTTTATTCTGAAAGGAAAACTCAGGATACATTCATGACTTCATGTTTTCATAAAGAACAAAACAGAAATGAATTAATTGACATTAAGACATACAATATGTTGTTTGTGAAAAGGTGGAATTATATAAAAATGCATCTCAGAAATTACAATGGACAGATGTAAGTGAAGTGTTTCTTCTTTGTTGAAGAGGGCGGGGGCCACTGCATGGCCCCTGGAGGCCTGGAGGGTGATGAGGCCTGAACAGGGAGCAGCCTGGTGTTTCTCTCCGTGTTGTGTTATTACATTTATAACAGAGACAAACCGTGTGTGTGTTTATATCTGATGATGGCGTTCCCCAGCTTCTCTTTCTGAGGAGTCCACTGGACGCCAAGGCGACAGCAAACTGCACGACATGTCGCAGAGGAGTGGCCAATCAGCTGGTGGTGTTTGGACTGGAGCTCTCAGCTGCGTCCACGAGTCAGTCAGACTGTTTGTTCTTTAAAGTGAATGACACGAAAACCAAATTGCTGCCGACAGTTCAGAGTGGGCATTTTGTTTATGATATACATTATAAATATTTATTAAAAATAGAGAGTGGAAAGAAGGAAGTGTTGCTGCAGCTGCTGCTCAAGACACGAAAGATTCAGAGAGTTGATGGCGTTTTGTCCTCTTCTCTCGTTGGTTCTCCTGCAGGTGGATTTGTGTGTTACGTGTTTCACGGAGAGGCAAGTCGCGCTGGCGCCCTGAATCTGGAGCTGGTACTCGCAGGCTGCAGCGAGGGTTGCAGCACTGGGGCACGGGAGATCCCTGCCAGTGTCAGTCGCTGCGGAAGAGGATCCAGCTGCTCGCAGTTCATCAAATCGCAGCTCTGTGAGTTCAGATCAGAACCGAGTCCGATCTTCTCTCATGTATTAAAAAATCCTGCCTCCTGTTTTCAATTGACGTCAGCACAAAAAGCAGAATCTGCAGACGGTCAATGACAGTAATTAAACCAAGAAGTGATATTGATCATCAATGACGTTGATTGGTTTCTGTATTTGTCTTTAAACATAGATTAAGTTGAACAAACAATAAGTTGATTAATGGATCAGCAGATGAACATCTTTGGCTTTTAGACTCTTGGTCGAACAAATGAAATAATTTGAAGACGTTGCTCAGAGAAAACAGGGACAGTTTTTAAAAAATGCTCTCTCGCTCTTTATAACAACAGAAAGCCAGGAACGTCCAGATCCCTGTGTTGAACAGTGTGTTTCTGTGTGTTGTGTGTTGGTGGTGTGGTGTGCGTGCGTAGGTGTGCGTGTGTGTGTGTGTTTCAGCTGTAAAGAGGCAGCAGGATGCTGTCGTTCTCCCCGCTGTGGTTCTGGGTCCTGGATAATCCCGCTTCCAGCCAGACTACGACTCACTGGGAGGCTAGGCACTTCACCTGTGTGTGTGTGTGTGGGTGTGTGTATCTGTGTGTGTCTGTGTGTGTGTGTGTGTGTGTGTATTGTGTTTGTGGGTCTGTGTGTGTGTGTGTGTGTGTGGAGGCCAGCAGTGAAGTTCATTAGGGGTCACGTTTGTTTTTCGGGTGATTCTTCAGTTCAAAAAGAACAAGTCCTAATTTATATTTTGGGTCTTCATGTCGTTTTAACTTGAGCTGCGAATGACAATTATCTTATATCAGTAGTTAATCTGAATCATTAACAATTTTAATGAATATTTAAAATTGAAGGCAACATTACAGGACAGATTTTGTACAGCTGGGATTGGTAACAGCTGGATTTTGAAGTGAGGGACGACATCATCAGTAACAGAATCTTGTGTCCAGATAGATTCAAAGAGCTGAGAAGCTTTTCAACTGTATGTGCTCGATGTAATGATTCACGTGTGTGTTGTGTGTGGAGTGTGGGTGTGTGGTGTGAGTGTGTGTGTGTGTGTGTGTGTGTGTGTGTGTGTGTGTGTTGTGTGTGTGTGTTGTGTGTGTGTGTTCAGGACTGCCGGGGAAGTTCAGGAAGAGTTTCAGAGTTTGAGAGCATCGAGTGAGTAACAGGTTTTTCCTGTCTTCAATTGTGTCATTAGTTAATTAATGAGTTTAATTATTGATCAATTCGGATGAAAACTTCATCATGTTCATTTGTGACTTTTTTTTGGGTTCAAAATAAACTTTTATAAGGAGTGATTGATTTAAAGAGTAAGCTGCTCCTGACAACGACGTCTCTTGACTGATATTATGGGCTGATCATCAACATGAATTAACTAATTTAATATTCAGCTATAATGAGGATGGATGGGATATTGATCTTCTGATCGATCGGTTTGGGGATTTGCTTTCTTACAGGACCCGTCAGGAACCATAAGTCCTACAGAGACCTGATCAGCAGCCTGAGCTCACTGATCGCCTTCACACCTTGCTGCTTAAAGGTAAACACACACAACACACACACACACACACACACACACACACACACACACACACAACACTCTCACACACACCACACAACACACACACACACACACAACACACACACACACAACACACACTCAACACACACACACACAGACCACACAACACACACTCACACACACACAGGCTCTCACACACACACAACACACACACACACACATCAGACACACACAGACAACAATCTACACACAACACTCTCACACAACAACACACACACACACAGCCACACAACACACACACACACACACATCTCAACACACACACAGACACAATTCTCACACACACAACACACACACACACACACTCACACACACACACAGCACACACACACACATCTACACACACACACCTCTCAACATTCTCACAAACACACACACACTCTCACACACACACACACTCAACACACACACACACACACACACAACAACACACACACCTCTCACACCTCTACACACACACTCTCACACACACATTACCACACACTCTCCACACGACATCACAGACACACACACACACGGACATCAGCTCTCCACACACACACACACACACCACACACACACACACAGACACAGTCTCTCACACACGGAGCACAAC